AACCTTAGTGATTCTGTGATTCTGTGACACAGTGAGCAAATTCTGCCCTCTGTTTAGTATGCCTCAAGGGGAGCTGAAAATATCCCCAATGAATATATAGTTGAAAAACTCATGTCTTCTCACTCCCTTAAGATAAATTCCATCCCAAACCCTGAATTCCAACTAAATATATCAGAATCACATCTGGTCCAGTAGCATTCCCCTGCCCTGGGGAAGCAAATAAAAAAAACAAAAAAAACCCACCAAACCACCCTCACGCATATAAGAAGGATGCAGGACATGTCCAGGAAGGACCATGCAATCTCTTCTCTCTACAATCCTTGCACCATTGTGCTAAGACCAAATCAAGTTAAGTTACTAGCAAAAACACAGGGGAAAAAACCAACCAAACAAACAAAAAGCAAATGAAAAATAATTCAGAGTTGGCAGGGCATAAAAGATGACTAAGTTATCCAGGATCTCTTTCTTCATTAGACAGGATGAGATTTTAAACACTGTGTGTCACAGACATGTAGAATGCAAGTTCACAAAAAATTCTTGCATTTCATTGAGCACCCACTTAGTCAGCTAAGTAACTTCCATTTGGCTAACATATATTTCTGAAAAGTATCTAGTCTTGCAGTGCAATTATCAAGAAATTGAGCATCTAAGATGGTAAAAGAGGGACTAACTTCATATTCAATTTTGACTTGATTCAGTATGTATCTTACAAGGAATAAAAGAATCAGATAAAAAGAAGAAATATTTTTCTGATTTCTGCTCCTCCCACCCCGATAGGCTGAGTCATTTATAAATCTTTCATATAGGATACTGCAGTACCAGTGACGTCTTACGCCCTTGCTCCACTTCTTTTGTAAGCATTTAAGTATTTGTGCAAAGAATGAGTCATTCTGCATTTATTTCAGTGGAAAGATGAATGTAAAATGCTATGTTAGATAAAAATAGATTAAGCTTCATCATTAGTAAGCATATATAAATATATAGCAAGTAAATTCCCTACTAAAGTGGAAGTCGAAAAAATTTTAGGCACTCTTGTTAAGCAATGGAATTTAATATACTGATTTTTAATTCCATTATTATGTATCCTTGAATAAATTGTTATAGTTTGGTTCTACACACAAAGTCTGTACAGTGTGAATCAAGAAACATACCCGTACAATGAGAATCCATTTGATCAGGGAGAGACCAAATCCACAGATTGCACCATACCTTCCAGCTATGGTATTTGTGATACAGAAGGATAAACAAAATCCAATCCAGTTGAAAATAAATGCCACTATAAAATAAAAGAAACAGTAGCTTCTGTTAATCTGTACAGCTAAGCAAACAGACTTAACATTAATTTCACTTTTAAACTACTAAGGACATGCTTACACAGTCAGTAATTCCCCTCTGGTAATTCAGGCTTTCAGAGATCGACTTTGAACCCAGACATTCCCCATGGTATAGTCACTTAATAACAAAGCAAATGGTAAACAGCTTGGAACCTACTACTTTAAACAAAATTCCGACATAAAAGAAAGTATTACATTGCTACAGAAATCTAACCAGATGACACTAGACATGAAGGGTAAATGCAAACAAAGGACTATAACATACAAGACTTGCATTAAAAGAAAAAACAACAACCTCGCTACGCTTTCATAATCAAAAATATAGTTATATGCACACATACGTGCATGTATCAAGGCTGCATATTCAGCTTTATCCAGTTTGGATCGAACAGAATAAAAGTATCCACTCTTGCTCTGTAAACATAGTATAAAAATGAAGGTAAGTTGAGAAGCTGATGTTTCACTGGTTACTGTCTTCTCTTTTAGATCTATATTCAAGCATAAGATATAAGAAGCCTTGGAAGTTTTACATAGAAGCTTAAGAAATCCAGAAAAAAAAGGACATTGAGCATAACTGTTACTTCACTGTTACTTCAGTTAACACTTTCACAAAACTCCTAGTAGTTTTACAATTTAAAGTTTCGTATCTGCATATGTACTTGGCAATGAACATCATCATCTGTATTGACTTCAGTTTGTGTGCATTAGGTCAAAGTGTGGGAATTCCTAATTAGGTGATGTCCCAGCTTTAGAAGTAAGTGAGGGCAACTAAACAGAAAACCACCAAACAGAAGAGCTGGGGAAGCTGGCAGAAGACGACAACTCAGGAGTTCTGGAGAGATGGTAGAAAACTGAAAACATTAGGGAAGCCCACAGTAAACACAAAAATCACTGAAGAGGCAAGCAGGGGCAGATGGAAACAAAACCCCCGCACACAAATCCTTAAATCCCCAAACTTATGGAAAAAACAAAACCCACATAAAATTCAGACATTAAATCACCACAGAGAAAGAAGTCTGTCTTTTCAGTGAAAGTTTGAACACTTACAGCAAAACATTAGGAACAGAAAATTGGTTAATAGTTTTCTTAAATAAAAGTAAATTTGAGAGGATTATCTACAAACAATGACTTTTTTTGGTCATTTAAAACCTTGTTACGGCTCTTCCAACAATCCACATAAAGATGCAATGATTTGCCCACAAATGCAAAATTAGTCTGTAAAACTGCAGTGGGATTCCATGAACTGTAAAGAAATTGAAGCTCCATGAGAAGTTTTGGAAGACTTTACATCAACACAGTCATTTTGCACAAGTGAGAAAACATCCTGCCTCGGACAGAGCCATAGGTAACAGATGGTGGCAATGAGAAAGCTTATTTTTATGATAATTACTAATCTTAAAAAAAAAACCCCAGAAATCACAAAACGAAAACACACAAACAACTTTGAATAAATGTTGATCCAAACGGTATACGCAGAGAAGAAAAAAAAAAGAGCATTTCTATTACCTAAGAACAACACTGTGACCCTAACATTTACCTGTCTTTCCAAAACACAAAAAAAAGCATTTACATTTGAGAAAGCTTGAATACATTGTTTTGAAAACAGGATTCCCCTATTTCAAGCAAGCTCTGCAAATCCACCACACTTTTAAGAGTAACAGATTTCAGAAGCTAGTTCTTCAATGAGTCTCTGTTCCTGCCTCAGCAAAACAGCTTACTGTTACCCTCTCCTTTTCTCCCCACTACTCAAGCTACAAAAAGGGTGACTTCGATTGTGGCTCCAAAGATAGGCATGCTAAAAAGGACAGAAGATAGACATGTTTCTAATGGACTATGCAGACTAGAGCAATTCCCACCACACTTACAATTTTAACAGGTATTTATAAAAAACCAAGGATTTTTAAAATACCTGAACTGATTTGTATGCACATTATAAAAATTAGAGATTTCCCAACCATAAATATAGGAGGGGGGAAAAAACAGTTCTTATAATCAAAGTTAAACCCAGTGACAATTTTACCCTCCTTTCAATTTGACCTAAAGGAATATTCAAAATAGAATCCACAGTCACTGGATGAGTATTAGGTGGATATTTCACACTCAGTTGTTTGGCCAACTCCAGAAAGAAAAGGGATCAACATGTTCCAGTGTTGTTCACAATAGCTTTTTTCCTTTAACCAGTGTGCTGTTTCATCAGGTTATATAAGCAGACAATGAAAGCAGGAAAGACAAGGCATAAACTACACAAAAGTTGGAAACTACGCAAGTTGACACATCCCAATAAAACGGAACTATATACAGAGGGAAAATCTTACTATTTAAGCTTCTATCTGTAACCACCTGCTAGAAAAATTCTGCAGTGAGGACATAATCAAAATTCCCCGTCTTCAGCAGTATGAGGAACGTATTATTTCCACCACTGTAAACCTAAGCAACATATTAGGCAGAATCTCTTAACATGACCTTGGTGTTGCATCATTTTAACAAACTTAAGATGGGCAACAATAATGTATACATGTTTTCAGCCTTTCCCATTGCTTCTCTCTCACCTCCCCAGGCTCCTATTGGTGCTCATAAAATCATCTTCATTGTCTCTTCCTGGTTACAAAATACATGATTTCCTTTCAGAAATGCATCTTCAGCTTCTGAGTAGACTGCAAAAAATGAGCTTTTAATCTATATTCCACTTGTTTTTCTCTACATCAAGATTAGTCTCATCTGCCTATCTGTATCTTTTGCCATGATGATCTCCTCTGCCAGTCATGCAAGTTGGCACAGCTTTGTGGCCCACACCGCATCTGGTAAGAGTTACTGATATGATTTTGTCTGTAATTCCAGCCTCACATAATTATTGCAATAAAAGTTGTCCATAATTTTCATCCCTATATTGCCATAGAGAAGCCACAGCACAAGTTTCTCCATGAAGCTGAGAGAAAAAATACAATGGTGAGGGCACAGATTAGTAAAAGGAACCATCTACTATTTTCTCCAGATGTATCTAATTCCTTCTCTATCTACTAAATAGATACACCTAAGTCATTGTGCGAGCTTCTTGCTGCAACAAATGCAATCCTCCACTATTTGTCTGTATCCACTCACTTTGTGAAATGTAAATGACACTGCTCAGCAGTTAAAGAGATGACCTCATCCTTCATACCACTTCAGCTTCCCATGACATTCTCATAAAGACAATGTTCTTGGTCTAACACTAATACACACTACCACAAAGAAGAAAGCAATCCCTAAAAATGACACAGAAAGTCTAAAAAGCTGCTACAACATCACCGTTTTAACTAACAAAGCGTTCTTATCTTCTGTTTGCCCATTCTCTTCATGCAGCCACATTCTGTGTTCATCTTCTAGACTCCCACTGCAAGATTAACCACTCTGCAGCAAGAACTGTTTCCTAACCCAGAGATCGCTAGCGTTTGGGTTCATACTTGAGCCCAACTTTCAACTATTGCCCTCTTCCTTTTAATAGACTTCAGATCTTTAGATGAAATTCACACTGACTGCACTAGCATCATGATTTCAGTCTCTTTGCTACTCTAACACCATACAGACAAGTGGGACTAACAAAAAAAAAATAATTTTGAGTTTTATACATTCCTGAAGTGCCAACAAGTGGAGAAAGTAAGTCTACATTAATGTAGTTCACATAAAAAGAATATAACCATTAGAGCTATTCCCTCACGACAACAAAACTCAATGAAAAATAGGTAAGAAGTTCCTTTTTGGGAGGAGGAAGGTTGGACTAAAGGTCTTCTTTAATAAAAAGTCTTCTTGATAGCCAACGTAGCGCCCACAACAATTATGTTGTACTTTTATTTCTCTGTATGTTTTGCAATAAGATAATCCCAGCTGAAATATAAAGCACAGTATGGTCTAAATGTTGTAAAGGTCTTAGAATCTGACACACAAAACAAGGCTATCCATCAGCTATTTCCACACCCAAAGCCCTCCTCTGAGAAGCAGTGGTCAGCATAGGATTTTTCGTTTCAAAAACTGAAGTTAGAAATCAAAAGTCTTCTATCTACCATCAATTCTAAAGAAGTTGGAGTAAAATAATTCAACTTGGTTTCGACAAACAAGCTTGTATCCACTGCCATTCTCCATTCTCCAATAACTAGAAGGGCAAGGCAAAGATGTTGTATGAAGCTGTACCTTGTCATTATGTGGTCAAACATTGGAAGAGTGGCCAAACATTGGAACAAGCTGCTCAGGGAGGTGGTGGAGTTGCCATCACTGCAAGTGTTCAAAAAACGTGTGGACATGGCACTTCGGTTTAGTGGGCATGGTGGTGCTGGGTTGACAGTTGGACTTGATGATCTTAGAGGTCTTTTCCAACCTTAATGATTCTGTGATTCTGAATTTATTCATCCATGCTTGCTTTTTGTCAGTGTTCGTTAAGTTGCAAACCAATATTGACATATCCTTTCATTCTGTTCTCACAATTTACAGCAAACAAAACTTGGGTTTTCAAGTTAAGTAATCTTGTGCAAAGATTTTGAGTTGCACAGATTGCAACACATCAGAAGATGCAACAATAATGACAAGCATACTAGAACAAATTTGCTTTTTCTTCAATTGTTCTTGCACTTCACTTGCTGATCTTTTTTACTTAGCCTTCCACAGCTACGTATTAATCACTTGTCTGAAGCGTATATTAAGCATCATGAAAAGAAGCCATCAAAACTGGTCTGAAGACCTATGTTGGTTCCAAATTTTAACCACAGCTCAAGCCTGTGGTAAGATTATAATGGCAACTATATACACAAAAAGTAGCCATGTTCAGTTACATCCTTTAGCCCCTGATTTGTTTGTCCGATTTATTATCTTAATATACAGTAATCACCAAAGAGCTTAATGCTTCATACCTGGACTAGTTTACTAAGCATACTGCAATAAATAATACTTTACAGATCTTCATGCACCACTAGAAATTGTTCTTCCCATTCCTGCATAGAATTTATTCCATTTGTGAACTGGGACACATTTTGGCTCCTTCCTGAAGGGTTCACCTGAAGTCTGATGATGATCACCAGGAGCATTTGCTATCAACTTCAGACTTTTTCCACACACACACCCCCACCTGAGTGATGAATGCTCAAAAACTTCCCTAGGCAATTTATTCCTACTGCTTCATTACCCTTGTTGGTAAGTTTTTCTTAATGCCCAACTGGAAACTTCCTCATTCCAATTATTTTGTATTGCATCCTATACGTATGGAGAAACCATGTAAATCAAATTCTTTCTGCATAAAGACAAAAGTTCGGTAATTGTGTATGAAGGTCAGCCAGGCTCCTCTGATAACCAGACGGAAACAAGCACTCCCAAAACAGTTCCTTTATCTCCTTCCAACATTTGCAATTTCAGTCAAATGACTTCCCCTCAGCTTCTCTTGGATGACTAAGGGAAACCTTAGTTTCATTCATAACTTTTGTGATATGGACATACAAAAGCCAGGTTTCCTCAATTCACACAGAGGAATCTTCCCGCCAGGAATTTAGACCATGCTTACCACTCTTCAGGAAGTATACAACAGGAGGCTGTGTTCACCCTGAGTTTGTGCTACAACCCTGCCTTCCAGCTGTGCCTGCTTGAAATCCCCTAAGATATCCTAGCTTGTGTGCAGTTTATTGACTGTTTGAAGCACCTAACAGCTTTGAAAAGTGTATGAACTTAAGTTTACAAAATCTCGGTACAGTTATTATCTGTTCCAATACAGGGACAATATGTACATTTACATTTCTCCACATCATGAGATTTTATTGGTGTGAGTTGTACACAATGTTTAAATTGCCCAGATGTTGTTCAAAAAGAACAAATCAGATCTTTATATGAGAACTCAAACTTCATCTGTATGATCAAACACTTTTCTCCATTTCTTCCTCCTTATTAACCCATCTGTGAGGTTCAAATTAATATGAGTTTTTCCTAGGTTGTAGGAACAACCCAAAACTTCCTTCCATGGTTTCTAAAATTCCAGATGAACTCTGCAATTGATTCTGGGCCCACAGGTGAAAAGGCTGGTTGATACATATAAGGCACTTCTTAAATATAACTGAAAACCACATAAGCCTTTTATTACTGCACAAAATGACCTCCTTCACACAATGAACCAGGATGAGCAAATCAGACATGATTCAAAAGACTGCCACTATGGGCAGATTAATCATGAAAACCAAACACTTAGAGCAAGTAACTGTCAGGAACCAATCACCATTACAGCTGTGTTCAAAATGGAAAGAAACAGCTCAAATTTCTCCTCTTTGTGGTGCACACAAAAAAAATCAAAACAAGCAAACAAAAAAATCACTCTGAGAAACTCACCTATTCACAATTTCCTCTGGCATTCTGAAAAGTTTATACTATGCTATATAAAGCACAGCCAACTTAAAAAATCATAACAGAAAAACAATATATTAAGTGGTCTGATAGCAAAATTTGAAGCATTTTGCTTTCATAGCAAAATGAATATATTCACTAATATATTCGTTTACCTCAAAATCAGAAACTGACAAACATCAGCCCTCACCATTAGAGAGCGGATTCTTTGCTCACCAACATAATCACAGATTTCAAGTGCAACACCATGTCATGGTTTAGCCCCAGCCGGCAACTAAGCCCCACACAGCCGCTTGCTCACTCCCCCACGGGACGGTGGAGAGAATTGGAAGAGTAAAAGTGAGGAAACTCATGGCTTGAGATTTCACAACACTGTCTTAAAACATATGCTTTTACCACATATTCAAAATAAAATACGTTGTTTTCCAAATTTTTCCACTAAGTTTCTGAATCAAGAGCTGAAGCAAAAAACTCACCTGTTCACACAAGGGACTTTCATTCTTTAGAGTATAAGGTCTCATTCTATTTAGTTATGCTAAACAGAACAGTACCTTATAACTTAGATGGGAAACAGGTTTGTCATTTGCATGCACCAAGCTCCTAAACCAAACAAAAACCCCAAACAAACAGATATGGCCACTAGATGGCCGCAAGACAGCAATTTTATGCAACTTGGGCAGCTACCACTAGATGGTAGCTACATATCGGTAGTTGATTGCAATGTGCTGAAGCTCAGTAAAAGGTCTATTTTTTTTTACACTTCAGATGAGTAAAATGAAATCAAAAAAGCTAACTTCACTGGTTGATACTGAAAAAATCTTCCTACCAGCACTGAAGGTAACAGTCACAGGAGAGGGTGGGAGAGCATATCTGGAACAAGCTATTTGTTCCACACTCCTCTCACTAAACAGTTCCTGACACTGTTCTCCTGCATTTTAATTAAGTGAGGGAACTTATTCTAGGCTCTGTGTGATCTGCCACCTCTACTTACAGCATTTAAATATATCCCACCCTGGAAAAAAACCCCAGAAGATAGACATACTGTGAATTTCATTTTAATTCCTGTTCTCTTAAAACTACATACATAAACTTTATGGGGACTTTCCTCTCCTTAGAGGGACGGGAATACACCACCCACTATTTACAATCTACCCTTATTAAGTTAAGCCCATTTGTCATTTAGTTCTCCAATCTCCCTAAGAAAAACTGCTGAAAATTAATATTACAGGTCTATAAATGCCATGAGTTTTTGTGAACTCCTCATACTATGAACACAAACAAGTAAACTTTATCAATTTCCATATGTAACCAGTATCCATAACAGCCCACACGGATCCAAATTAAGCATACACTTGCAAAAATATCTTACAGTGTATAAGGACTCATTTTATGCATTTCATTCATAGGTCAGCAAAGTTGGCAGTACCACAGTCTCAGAATAATCAAGGAAAATTATGATGTATTGAGTTTTTTTGTCAAATGTGTGGAAGTAGCACTCTGTGCAGTCAGTCTTAGCTAAACAGCTACTTGAAGAGAAACTTGCCAGTTTATCCAAGTAAATGTCTGTGCTCTTGAAGGTAGGCGCAAGGTTCTGGGCATGCAGTTTTGGCCAACTGCATGTGAATATCATTGGACCCTTTCTGGAGCCTTTGATTCCAGTACAGCTTCTGCACAGCAGGATTTTTACTACTGCTGTGCTCCTATCTGCAAGCTAACAAGTCTGTTTTCAGCTGTGATTTTAAGGACTTAAAACATATTAGAGCCAACAATTCTTTTGACCTCCAAGGGCAATGCTAATGAAGGCCTGAACCAGGATTTAAAAGCAAGAACAAGTTCACACAATACAAAACCTAAATAGGTTAAATACAAAAAGTTGTAGCACATAGGGAAGAGAAGAAAGGGAAGAAGAAAAATGAAGCCGTAACCCGCTTTGCCCCCAAGAATATACACCCTTTCTATGGTCCAACTACGGAAAGAGGTCAGACTACAAAACTCACTTTGTTACCCTATATGTATATATTTGCCATGTGAGGTAGGCACATATATTGTTATCACAAGATGTAAACACCACATTGTCCTAGTACATTGTATGCCAACATGCAAAAAACTTCCGTGAAAGTTCTGTAACCTGCATCTGTAACAGTTAGATACAGACACTGTGAGAGACATTAAAGAAAACAAGAACGAAGATGAGATCTAAGTAGAGAGACATAAAGGAGATTTCAGTGGATAATCAACGAGCTTTCATCCTGAATGACTACATCCCCAACACCAAGCTTCCATCCAGGTTGCCAAACACATTTATTTCAGAAAGGGAAAATATCCTCAGAAATTAGAAAGAAACACACAATCGGCAAAACAGAAGCAACATCTTTCCAGAAGTAACTTATAGTGGCTAAATCTAACTTTGCTCAATGCAGTACATAAGTTACAAGACACGCACAGTGTGCGCACACAGGACCTGAAGAAGTGCTACAGCAGTGCTGGCTGCAATCAGACATTTCCTGAAGACAGTACATTTTTATATGCTAGTGGTTAGTTCAACCTGAAAATGAGCATGGTTGAATTTGTTCCAAAAATCCACCCACAGCTATTTAATTCACTATGCTAACATCAGCAACTTTTATACGGCACATCATCCCTCTCAAATTTTTTCTACTTAAAAACTGATTGCCAGATTTCTGTGATCCAGCCTTTAATTTAAGCGGGTAGTCCAACTAGAAGATGACAGAATTTCCCAACTCATCGGTAACAGCACAGCCTTGCAATGCCTCAAAACATTTAATATGATTTTGCTTTGTCCCCTTATCCGTGACAGATGCCACAGAAAAAAAGCGCAACATATTTGCTACATCTGAAATAGGAAGTGTATATCTGTGTAGAGGTAAAAAAACCCATTCATTACAGTACATTAATGCAGTTTATCACAGCTATCTTTTATATTCCATTAGAAAAAAGGTACAATTAAGATACACCTCAATAGGTCGGGGATACAAGATAACTTACTGAAAAATGCCAACATGAAGATGCCATCATTGCCCACTCTAAGCTGATCTGCATCACTGAAATCATCCCGTGGTGGATACTCTTCTTCCTGGATTTACAGGTTAGTGATAATTTAGTGAAAAGTTTATTTTAGAGTAACTATCTGTAGGATTAAAGTATTAATTATGTTTCTAAAGCTAGAAGAAAATTGACATTTCTATAACATGTCCACATCAAGGATGTTTAAAAGAAAAATAATTCATATCTGTAAAACAAGTCTTATTTGTTCCTTGTATTGACAGAGCCCAAATTTTCTGTAAAAGTTTCTGTACAAGATATGTACATACTGCCTATTCATCTTAAATGAAGTTAGAAATTATTTCAGATGAGTATTTGACAATCAAAATCAACAGAAATCTTTTTTTACTGTTACTATCCTGATATGCGGCAAGCTGTTAAATACCTTCTGGAAAAGTCATTACATAATATGTTCTTTTTTTTTTTTCCTGCCAGAAAAGTCTTTTAATGCTTCCCAAAATACAGAATACGGTTTTAGAATAAGGTTAGTATCTTAAAATAAATTGCTGCACTAACCTATTTGACTACCCTATAACCTACTGCAAAAACAGATGCAAAGCAAAGAAAACCGCTGGGGACACTAGAGGGCGCGAGCACATTAAAAGTGTTTGAAAAGTCGTCTAAACTCAAAAAGCACAGTATTTTAAGTCAAAGAAAAGCAAACAGTGATGTCAGCAAAACAATCCAAAGATTTCTCCCGTCGTGTCAAAATACTAGATTCTTAAGATACTGAAAGTATGAGTTTGTTTGATTTCTCTGTAGTTAATTTCCAACAGAACTTGGCAGATCTTACGTATGCAAGTTCTGTGCACAAGGAAAACAGTTCTGCAACTGTAGAATGGGAAACGTAGAAGTTTTCATGACAGCATTTAAAGAGTCTGATGTAAACCTGTTAAACACACCATTTTTACACTTAAATGAATAACATCAAAACAATGCAGGATGATACAAGTAAATAATGCTGTCAGTAGCAGCAGTAATGTGGTCTAGACATGAGCATGAGTAACATTCTTTTCCTTTTTTTTTCTCCAATTTATCACAACTTATTAGAAATGAGATAAGAAATGACCTACAAAAAAAACCATTTAAATCAAGGGAGTCAAGTGAGACTTACTTGTTTCACCCACCACAAACACTTACTATTGAAGTAAAGTACTTCTTATTTTTAACATACTATTCAGTCGCTGTACCAAATGTTATTTTGTACAGTTAGTTCATAACTAAATGGGCATGAAAATCACAGTCATCTAAAGCTCTGTCATGTGATTGACATGTTCACCTTTGTCAACACAGCAAAATAATTTACCAGGGTAGAGTGATGATGGTTAAAAATGTGCTAGAACAAACTGTACCAACTCAAGGCAACCAGCATTACTCCTCCTAACAGGGCCATGACATTCCAGCTGCACTATTTAATTTCAGATTAATTAACCAGGACTCTGTATCAGATAAATTACTTGAAAAAACACTGCTATTCACATAGACAATAGTAAGGAAGGCAAAAAAACCTAGCTGAACAACAGTCCTAAGGGGCTATAATCCAACTCTAGGTAATTTCAGATGTCCCTAAATCATCTTTTTAAGTGCCTATGAAAGCATTAGTTTATTTATCTCAACTTTGCTAGGGCTGAAAATGCACTTAAAGAGCTACATTTGAACGTGCTTATCTCTGAAAAAGTATGCTACAAAAGTTCCTTTTCCAAGTCAGGACAACAAAAAATATTTTTATTTTTAATTTCAAAAGGTCTATAGAATCCAATATAAAATATTTTGGGGGATTTTTTTTTTTTAAACTGTCTGCTAACTACTGTATTTCATACTGGCATTTCCAAAACAACTAGTGAATTACGGTCTATGCAAAATGTTGTCTCAGAAAAAGGAAATTCTGCTCTACTAAAAAAACAAGTTTAGCAGGCTTTTCTGTATGCACAGGCTTCTGTAAGGCTCACCTGTGTGAGAAACACAGGTCAATATATAAGCCACGGATATGAGAGTAGACATTTGCAAGTAGGCACTGTTGCAGTAAGTGTAAACAAGTTATAATTTATTACACTCCATGTCAAAAGGGAATTATATTAAACCAAGTTCTATTCACTGTCTCCAAAAATTGGAATATGAAAACTATCAAGAACATTTAAGAAATTAAATAGTTTCTTGTGCTTAAATGATGTTCAGCCTATATCTACATCATTTAGTATTATGAGGCTTTATGATCAGTCTGGCAGACTCAAGACACTAACTGGCCACTGCTCAAGCCTCACTGATACCAGCTGTCTTTCACAGAGCTCTCATTTGATCTAGTTGGTGTCAACTGCCCCAATCTTTCTTCAAAATGTAATTGTTTGCCACTATTCATTGAGGCATGAAAAGGGTCAATGCAGAATGACTGTCCTCTCTGCTGATGCTTATAACTAAATGTAATTTCATCATAATACTTCCATTAGATATCAACATTTTTATCAATGAGAATAATTATATATTTTATTTATGTATTATTTCTTATTAATGAGAAGAGTGTCATATAACAATACACACAAATCCATGAAATATATAATACTGTTTCAGTATCTCATACTGATTCTTGACAAATTTAGCTATGTTAAGGATCATGGACAACATTTCTCGTTTGCTAAATATGCTGAGATCTGTAAAACAGAAAACTGACTGTTCCTATGACAAAAGAAACAGCTAAACAGCAAAATATATTATCAACATAAATGGCATGTCACAGAGTAATTTCCCTAAGCAAAGGGACACAGCATCTGTTGAAGTCAAACCTATTAATGTCTCTCAAACTACAGTGTTGTCTGTAGTATTCTGCAAAAAGGGGACTGTTTTTCCCCCCCAGTGCTTTGTAAATTCTTTCAAATTGAAACCCAGCATGGCGTATAGTGAGAAAACCACCTTTAATCAAGTAAAGAACCCAAGTTTTCAGGAATCCTTTGGATAACTAAACTGATATAACTGTTCTCAATGCAGTGGATTTACAGAGAAAGACTTCTGAGGAAAGGCTCAAATTACTTAATAAACCCCATAAATTATACCTTCAGCATACAAAACAATATGGAGAAGTTAATGGTGGGGGAAAAAAGGCACAATGAACCCCCAAAGCATTTGTTTGCCTGCAGGAAAATTCATAGTTAAAGTCTAAACTAAAGAGAACTATACCATACCTCTGGATGACTGAGGAATATTTCATCAAACAGACTCCTAGACTCCCTAAACTGGGCGTGCTAAGCATGTAAAAACAGAAAAACATAAGACAAATGCAACTGAAAAGCATTAAGTAAAAGCCATTCATTGCAACATATAAACAAGTCATTTAACTGTTAGCAATATTTTTGTCCATTTAAATTAACCTTGTAAAATTGGCCTTGAGAATCTGAAAAGGAAAACATCAAAAGCCAGGGTAACTGATGCTATCACTACTGATGACATTAAGGCTGTTACCATTTCTTTGGTACATGGAGTAATCTGGGAGCATTTGAAAAAAAATAAATGTTTATGCACAATGTATTCTTGTAAGACAAACTACATTAAGGACTCCAAAAACAAGTACCAGAAGTTTCATTAAAATTTAAGTTTAGATTGATCGTACGATCTGTGGATGCAGGGCCTATGATGAAGTCTTTGATCGCACTAATGACTTTTGTAAGATTGCTACCTCACTCAAGAAAAAAAAAAGATGAAAGTTGTTTAGTGAATGCGCTGCCTTTTTATATCATTTTCCTCCCTTCTGCTCAATGGGTAGGTTTGTAGCCTTTTTTACTGCACGCTTTGGACTATACTATGAAGCAATTATCAGCTTCATTTATCACTCAAGGTAACGCAAGGACATTCAACTTTTTCCAACTGTTCACATTATTGACGTGATGAGGCAGTATCTCCTCATTTTACAAGGAAGAAATTAAGAGATATGGATCATAGCAGAGTTCACATTCATAACAGCATTATTTTCATAAGGCTGAAAATAAAAACTGAAAAAAAAAAACATGTTCTATTGTCTGTGTATGTTTTGCAAAGTATGTAATATACAAGTCAGATACTGTCCACAGCTGTCACTGCTTGTGATCTCCAAGACAGTGAAAAGTGAGAAAACAATTAACTACATACCAGCAGCACAAAGTTTAAGTCACTTATCTCTTCTTCCATGAGTATTCAGAACGAAGGATCAAAATCCTTCCCCTGAAGATGGCAAACCACCACTCTAACCATAATATGACCATTTCTTCTTATTCCAGTTATCTGCCAGATTAAGAAAGCCTTATTATACAGTCTTAGTCCACCCCAATGTAAGTCCATCTGAGTTATTAAATAAGGCAGTGATTTTGTGGCAGTATCACATGGTAAGGTAATTAAAATGGCAATAATTAAAACTCTGCTGGTACATAATTTTAGTATCAGTTACAAAACTGGAATCCAGCTTCAGCATTGCCTACTTTTCCCCCAAATCTCAGCTGTGCAACCTTAATATTGTTTCTTTAAGATAGCTTGTGTGTGTCCATGCTTCTGCTTTTAAAAAAAAAAAAAAGACACAGAAGCAAACTGAGCAGAAATTCTACCAAACTTGAGATCTTTAGCAGTCAGCAGGACTGTGGCTTTTAAATACTCTGAGTAGACTTCTGATACTAACTTAGTACTGCTGTAAGTCTACAAACTTTGTAGCCAATTTCTGCATTGGGGGAATGATGGTGTATTGCTACTGGTTTTTCATAAGTGAAATTCTTGTGGAGTCAGCACATAGTTCTTGAACATCAAGTTCTAATACATGTTTTGGAAAAGCAGACTATGTAAAAGTTCATTTATCACTTTGTCACCATATGCTACTCTCCTACCTTTTAACTCCAGATTCCTTGTCCCTCCTGACTTCTTTTTTCCTCACACACCAGCTTCAGCTCCTTTCCCAGCACCACATTTTGTCCCCACTTGGGTTCCTTTCTTCACCAATCCCAGTTACCCTTCTCCTCCTGTTTCTCATTTAAATCTCTCGGTACTCTCTCCATACCACTGCTCTCCATTCACTCTTGCCTTTTGTCATTCTGACTTAGACCCATCCTCTCTAATCATAGAATGGTTTGGGTTGGAAGGGACCTTTAAAGGTCATCTAGTCCAATCCCCCAGCAATGAGCAGGGACATCTTCAACTACATCAGGTTGCTGAGAGCCCCAACCAACCTGACCTTGCCAGGATAGACTGCCATCTACCACCTCTCTGGAAAACCTGTGCCAGTGTTTCACCACCCTCATTGGGAAAAATGTCTTCCTTAGATCTAGTCTAAACCCACCCTCGTTTAGTTTAAAACTGTTACCCCTTGTCGTGTTGCAACAGGCCCTGTTAAAAAGTCTGTCCCCAGCTTTCTTATAAGCCCCCTTGAAGTACTGGAAGGCTACAATAAGGTGTCCCTAGAGCCTTCTCCTTTCCAGGCTGAACAACCCCAACTCTCTCAGCCTGTCCTCAGAGGAGAGGTGTTCCATTCCTCTCATCATTTTGGTGGCCTCCTCTGGACCTGCTCCAAGAGGTCCATGTCTTTCCTGTCCTGAGAGCTCCAGAGCTGGACGCAGGACTCCAGGTCGTGTCAGAGCAGAGCAGAGGGGCAGAATCACTGCCCTCGACCTGCTGGCCACAATTCCTTTAATGCAGCACAGAATATGGTTGGCCTTCTGGGTTGGGAGTACACATTGCTGGCTCATGTCCAGCTTTTCATCTACCAGTACCCCCAAATCCTTCTCAGCAGGGCTGCTCTCAATCCCTGCCTGTGTTCACTTTGAACCAGTTACCTCCTTGCCCAACCAAAACCAGACTTCTCCTACAACATGTAAACTTCAGAGGCTCAGAGTCATTGTCGTTCTTCCATCCACCTATCATTGATGCCCCTGCAATTGAACCAAGTGGCTTTCCCCTTCTCTTCTAAGCAAAGGCCAAGAATAATAAAACTACTTCTGAGCACACCAGAAATTCCTAATTCTGAGTCCAGTGTTTTCACCAGAAGCAGTCAAGAGCAGTCATAAGGTGTATCTACTTTTAGTCCCATAATCCTACTCTGATACAGAACATTTGAGAATGTTCTCTGGTGACAGCACACCTGCTGTCCCATCCCCTTCAGAGCTATCAGTAGTCTGAACTTGTTCAGGCAAGACTAACTCCACACATTTACTAAATTGAAAGCTGTATGTATCAACTGTGGAAACTAATTTTTCAAAAACTTGTAATTTGGCCAAAACCAGGCAGATTTTCTAAGGAAGGGCAAAAGACGTTTCTGACACAGTGACCTGAACATGTGAGAGAGCTCTCCAAAAAAAAGCTTAAGATGACAAGGAAAAAAAAAAAAAGATTTTTTTGTTTGTTTGTTTTGCTTATCTTTATTCTTGAAATTGGCTGAACCCTACCCTGAGGTTTTCCCTGTGAAATTCAGGTCAACGAAGACTGCTTGTACATCTGAAACTTTCATCCCATAGGGTTCTAGACAGAAAAAGTTAAAAGCAACATGAATCTTGCAAGAGAGTTGCACACGTCCTGTCTGAAGTGTAGGAGGACTGGTAATGGTACTCTAAAAGTTAAGGTTTGGGTTTCTGATGTCCCAAGTAAGTTTAAAAGTTTATAATTTCAGATTGAGGGTTTCATTCAGACCAATATTTCAGAAAAAGTTTTACTCATGCGACAAGCAGTAGGGACAGACTACACAGAATCCATGCTCCTGTTAAAGCATTTAAAAGGTTACAACTAGAAATCATCATTTCATAGCAGAAACTTGGCAAGTAACCATGCAAATGTTCCTGGTTCCCTGCTGCATTTAGCAAAACAGATTTGTGCAACACCTTCACTGGTGACATTACACAAATCCACTTTAACTTTAGCTGTACATACCTTAAAGTGAGTGTTGCACACTGTGATTACCGCCCAGTAGTCAAGGAAGGAACAACCTCCTGCTAGGTAAGCAGAATTGTTTCTCCCAGTCACAAGCACACTGCAGTCAGGAAGACTTAAAATGCATCTCAAATGCAACCATATTTGATCTCAAGGTGGAGATTTTTAGTGAAAGCACTGGAAGCCTAGTTTGGGTATAGTATATTATGGCCAATACTACCAAAACAGCAGAATTTCCACATTCCAAAACTTGGGAGAAAGAAAACGGAAGAACTTTGCTTATAAAATTAACATTGAACATAAATTGCAGATACAAAATTTTCCATGTTGAAGACTGTATTCTTTATAATTTTAATTTTTATAAAACTATAAGCACTGAATATATACCTGAATATATGAATATACATATTACTTAATATACCTGTTTAGCATAATTTGTGGTGTGGGGTTTTTTGTTTGTTTTAAGTACTTGGAAGATTTCTTTGAACTTCCTTATTAAAATTTTCATGAAGCAAACAACAGGGACCTTTCCTTTTAAAAAAGTTCTACATTACTTGGCGTTTTGACCCTTCCAGATTGTTGGAATTGTCCTTTCTCTCTGAAGGTCTACTTTGTTCATTAATTTTATTTGGGTTTTTTTTACCATCTGAAACACTAAATATCAGCAATAACTCTACAAAGTAGCATTAGTAGTGGATACCTAACTAAAAGATGACAAAATACTGGATAAACTATTAAGACAGGGCAAAATTTGGCTTTTAAAGATGTTTAGACAGCAGCTATGCCTCAGAAAAGAGTAAAAATGATACACTTTTCACAGTACTTTATAACTAACTTACACTATCTACACAAAACCTCAGAATCCAAAATATTTAAATCATCATCCCACCATTATTTTAATAAATAAGCCATAATGTGGGTCTAATTGTTATAAATAATTAAATTAGCCTTATAAGTTTCACAAAATTGAAATAAAGCAGAACTATATCACTTACTCGTTGGGCAACTTCTGCTGCAGCAGCTGCCATTGCTGCAGCTTTGGCCTTCTCTGCTTCATCGTAAGTAGGAAGAGAGGTAGCTACACTGTATGGAGGTGGTACAGGATAAAATTCATTGTGTGTTTCTGTTCAAAATAAAGAGGTTATGCATTTTTAAGCCAGAAAGATGTCAAGAATATTAATTTTTACATGCACATAAGCTTTGAAAAAAAATATATACTTTAACAGAGGCTAAAATTGATTATATTTGTATTTCAAGTTCTTGTAAGTTGTACCAAAAAATTATTTTTATAAAATAAAATAGTTAACAGCTTCATGGTGCTTTTAGTTCCTACTCAAGGCAGAAACCTTAACCTAGATGCTTCAGGGAGCCAACAATTTTATGAACAAAAAATCGTATTTGCTGAGTTACATCCCTAGGCATTCCAACCAAAGGCTTTCTGTCAAATCATACAAAAGACATGCACAGAAGCATCCTAAAAAAAAGCTTTTAATTATCAACATCAATTAGTTACTTAAGTCCAGTAATAATCATGCTGTATTTTTATTAGCATGGCCTTGTTGCTAACTCCAGTTGTTCTATGAAAATCAGTTTTTCTAAGATTTCAATTTCACCACGTGCTTTTAAAAATGTTCCTTCTATCAAAATGGACCACAGGCGTCATTCTTAAATACTGAAATAGTAAAGCATCATCATATAAAATAGAATTATTAACAAATTGAATAAAAACTATTTAAAATACACCTTTAGCTTCCTTCTACAGCCAGCAGCAGTTTGTAAAAAGATTGCTTACATGGTAAAGATTTGTCAGCACAGGTCACATGGTAAAGAGATCTGTCAGCACACCACCACAAAGATGTTATATATAGGGATAATGCTGCATACTTGCAAACACTCTCAAAGAACAGGGGCAGGAAACTGCTCCTTTAATCACCATTAAAAAAATTAGGTTAGAGATTACTTCTAAAATATTTTCTGGCCCATGGGAGACACAAATCCAAGCAACTTTGCTTAAACAGGGACTTCGATGTTGCCTGCTGTAAAATCTCCCAAAGAAAAGTCACAACCTCATGAGAAAGGGAGCAGTGAATAAATGGAGAAGATGACCCCTGTTACCCATTTTCCACAAGAAGATTTATCAAGAGCCTTTAAAGCAAAATGAATTTTTCCATAGCAATATTTTCACCAAACAATACCATACACTTAAGAAGTTTGAGTTTTGACAAATTAGTGCTTTGTTGTTTTTGTTTTTTTTTTTACAAGGAAGCAATGAAAATTGTTAATGAGGTCTAATAATGGAGCACTACTCAAAGACGTAGATTACATGTGGAACTGAACTACATGCAGACTTAAATAAAACCTATTACACCAATTAATGAACATCCATTTAGTCTAGTAATTTGGCAGCGTAATTTAGAAATGTGCTTCTTCTGAACAAACCAGGCAAGAGGCTGTGCATGAAAGCACCGCTTTTGACTGCAATTGTGTGCGTAGAAAAAAACAGAAAAAACCTACACCATCGTGCCACTTTGAACCAAGTGCTGATTCACGCACGCTCCTCCCTGACAAGCTGTTATGTAAGAAAAATACCTGAGGTTGCAGCTGCTTCTACAGCTATGCTACAGTAAGGTGGAGGGGAAGTGTCTGCTTCAGATAAGGCTGCTGTCTGCGGAGTCTGCGGAGTCTCTGTAGACGTGGAAGGCTGCTCAGCTGCTGAAGACTCTGGGGGGTCATCCTCATTGTGAAGCTTAGAAGAAAAACACACAGATTTCAGATGCACTTAGGGAATACTTTCCATGCCAACCTAGTACTTGCACAGACATCTTCTAAAAGAGAGAAGATTACTCTTCAACAAAACCAAAAATTATTTACAAAACAGCACATGACTACTTTAAGTAGTCCAGTTAAATCCTATTAAGCAAACAGCTCAAGATAATCTTAATTGCCTTTCCCCCGTGCCCCTAGAAATGGATTCCTTCTCAATGATGTTCACAGAGTCTTAAAAATCTGTTTTTTTTTAATGCTACCATATAGGAAAATACTGACTATAAAATACTTTCTATTATATCAATATTTGAACACTATTGCACTTTTTTCCCCTTAAATACATTCATAAAATGTATTAACCTATTTTAAAATACAGAAATAAGAATTTGTATAAGCAAGAATGTTGATTAAAACTGTGGAATTTGGATCCAGCAACTAATGTCTTTTCTTAGAGAAGGTATTTTTGATTATTTTATCTAATTTGATAGTGTTTCAAATATGAATCGAGCTTTAAGAAAAGTACTAAGATTAAACAAAAAAGTGCTAGTTCCCACTAGCATAAACTACAAGACGCCTAGAAGGCAACTACTGAAGCATCATATTTAAAACCCAGAAAATAAGATTAGTAAATTGAACATATCTGAAAAAGAATTCTGTTACATCAAATTGGTAGTTTCTATGAACACCCTACAGAAAAATATTATTTTAATTTCAATAATAAAAATATTAAGAATACATCTATATCAATTTCATATCAGGTAAAATACAATCAGATTACTGGAAAAAGCACACTCTCAGAAGAAAGAATGCTAAGTTCTTTGTTAAGTAGTGTAACATTCATACCAAAACTGTTTTATATCCAGAGTATACCAAAGGTCACAGTATGGTTGAGGTTGGAAAGGATCTCTGGGGGGGCATCTGGTCCAACCTCCCTGCTCAACCACAGCTACCTACAGCTGGTTGTTGGTTGCCCAGGACCCTGTCCTGATGGCTTTTGAGTATCTCCCAGGATGGAGATTCCACAACCTTCCTGGGCAACTTGTTCCATTACTCAGTCACCCTCATATTATAAAATATAAAAATAATTAAAAAAAAAAAAAAAAAGG